GTAGTATAGGTTAGATAGGATCTGCCACCTGTAGTCTGGGCGCCGAGCGCCAATAGGATATCAACTCTGGTTCGTAGTTGATGATGATGGGACTACTTCAGCATTGTCAATTTTGAACTCTTGGTGTGTTCTTATTTGGTGTATCTCGTGATGCCAGTCTGCTGTGGTTCGAGGTCAAGACTATCTGGGCTCATATGTATGATGCTGTTTGATTGCTGAAGTTCGCTAATGCTCATCTTCCTTGCAATAATAATAATAATAATAAAAATAAAAAAGAACCCCACAAACCTTCGTTTTTTTTTGAGAGGTCCGAATGGGCAGCATTGATTACTCCATTTGGAAGGATGTACCACCCCTCACCCCTGCCTAAGTTAGCCTATCTGTCTTTGGATTTGGGTTTGGGTCCTACCTTGCATGCTAAGAATTCTATCTGAATGCTAGTGTCTGTCCATTGCAGTTTGCTCTCAGTTGTTCCTCTCAGCTCTATGGCTGTCAGTTTTTGCATTGGATGTTGGAGTTGCTTAGCGGGTCTAATGCTTACGGACTTTCTAAAACCCTAAACCCGAAGGCTATGTCTCTGTCCTTTTTGTGAAATGAGACCTGTTCCATCCCTGATCTTTCTCTGAAGACTAGTACCCGATACCTTCGCCTCCTGTGTCTCCTCTTGTCCTTTGTTTCTATCCCGTGTTAACCGATATGGTCACTTTTATCCTTAAGCTGCTTAGGTGTTGCAATCAGTGGCTGTAACTGCGTTTTCTGGGGGGAGGGGTAAGGGGTTATGAGTGGAAGGGATTATAGACTCAGGGGCTGACTCGCTGTATGGGAGGTGGTATTCACTGTGAGTTGGTGGGATTTGACAGGAGTGTCGTTGGACATATAATAAAACTGCATAACATAGTTTAGCTGCTCACTTAAGCATAGTTTAGCTGCTTTAGCATAGTTTTTCTCAGTTTTTTTGGATTTTGTATTCTTTGTTTTTTTTTAAATTATTCCTGGGACTTTCCCAGGCCCTTCCCCGTCTGCATCGCCCTGGCAACCGAGGTCACCTGGGCAGCATGGTTGGAATGATTAATAATTAAAATTACTTAATTGAAGTTAATTAATTAATGTATTTGTTTGCCTGGGTCTTCCCTTGTGCGCATCGACTCTGGCATTGGTTTGCAACTCAAGATTCTGCATACGTAATATTACACATACCAAAAAAAAAGGAGAAGAAAAGGAAAAATATGTGACTGGTCTGCCCACGTGACTTTGACTCCTGACTGCCAGCAAGAGCCGCGAATAAGATTCCCCTGGAGGAGATGCAGCCCGCAAAGGAGGAGCATGTGGATGGAGAACCTAAGGTGGATGGAGAACCTGCCGCCCAATCTTCAGGTGCAGGGGATGAAACAGGAGGAGGAGGAGGAGATAACCGAAGGCAATCGCGTCGTGGTGCAGTTGACGCAGCACCTGAGCAAACCGGAACTCGAGCAGGAACAGGAACCGGACCAGGAACTGCAATGGAAACTGGGACAGCAACTAAATCAAAGCATCAGTCAGATGAAGCACGTCCCTCACCAGGCTTAAATACTGTGGATGAGCAGGCCCCTCTCCCTGGGCGTGGGGAAGCAGGCCAAGTGGCAGTCGGAGCAACTAATCCTCCCCCAATTCTGCTGACAAAACAGGAGAGTCTAGGGTGGATTGCTTTGCAGGAGCTGCGGGCAGGCAGAAACGTCAGTATGATAACCAATCATCATAAACACGAAACCCTAAAACCTGAACTCCGAAACCTAAACCCTAAGCTTTAAACCTGGCCGGGAAGTGAACCCAAGGTGCCATCGCTGGAACTGGCAGCTGAAGCAACAAATGCTCGCCCAGCTTTCTCCGACGCAACAAGAGCGGCTTGGATAGACTGCTTTGCAGGAGCCGCTGGCAGGCAGAAACGTCCGTACGATAACCAATCATCATAAACCGGAAACCCTGAACTCTGAATCCTAAACCCTAATCTTTGAACCTGGTCTCGAAGTGAATCCAAGGTGCCCATGGTTGGAACTGGCAGCTGAAGCAACAAATGCTCCCCCAGCTTCCTCTGACACAACAAGAGAGGCTAGGATAGACTGCTTGGTAGGATCTCCTGGCAGGTAGAAACGTCAGTACGGTAACCAATCGTTATAAGCCTGAAAGTTTGAAACCCTAAACCCTAAACCCTAAACTTGGAGACCTAAACCCTTAGCTTTGAACCTGGTCTAGAATTGAGTCCAAGGTGCCCATCCTTGTCTAGCATCTATGGTTGGAACTGGCAGCTGAAGCAACACAAATGCTCCCCCAGCTTCCTCTGACACAACAGGAGAGGCTAGGATAGACTGCTTTGCAGGAGCTGCTGGCATGGCAGGCAGAAACGTCACAACCAATCGTTCCGCTAAACCCTAAAACCTATAACCTAAACACTGAAACCTAAACCCTAAGCTTTGAACCTGGTCTAGTGAATCCAAGGTGCCCATCCTTGTCTACCATCTATGGTTGGAACAGGCAGCTGAAACGCTAAATAGTTATTATTGGCAACCAATTAAACCCTAAATACTAAACCCTAAGCCCTATACCCTGCTGTCTTCAAGTGAATAGAGACCCCCCCCCGGTCATTATTATTGTATCTCGACTGAAATTGCCCCATGTACAGCTACAATGAGCGGGTGTTCTATTCAGGTGAAGACAGTAATGCTGTCTTGAAGCGGATCCAAGGTGCTTATCTTTGTTAATCACCTTCACCCAAATAGAACGCACGGTCATTATTGCTGCATCTAGACTCAAACTTGCCCCAAATACATATGTAATGACCAGGCATTCTATTCGGGTGAAGATGGTAGCATGTAGGGTTGGAACTGGCGGCTGGAGCGCTGAATGCTCCCCCGGCTTCCTGTGACAAAACAGGAGACGGTAGGAAGGGTTGCTTGCAGAAGATGCAGGCAGGAAGAGATGTCAGTATGATGATCAATCCTGTGTCCTAAGTGCTAAGCCATGAACTCTGAAGCCTCTCTAGAAGCGGATTCCAGGTTCTCATACTTGTCTAGCGCGTAAGATAAAGGGCATCACAACAAGGCCCATGATGACAAGATATTTCTGGGACTGCCTTTGTGGAGTTATGTCGTTCAGGAAGGAAGAAGGTGAAAGGGGTGGGGGGGGGAGGGGCAAGAGGGTGCAGGTATGTTCTTATCAGGGTACAGCGTGGGCAGAATCACTGTGGGGCGTAGGGGCAGTGTGGAGGGGCAAGAGGGTGCAGGTATGTTCTTATCAGGGTACAGTGTGGGCAGAATCACTGTGGGGCGTAGGGGCAGTGTGGAGGTGTGGGATGGGGGTTGAAGGTGCATATTGATGAGGGTATAGCTTGCCTAGGATTGCTCTGCGGCGTCGGGGC